TCAGAAAATATTAGAAATCTAATGTTCAAATGCTGTCATATGGATGCCATCCAAATGTAATGCAATTTTGCACTTTCAAGAGTAAGATTGCTTGGTAAAATCATCGCTAACTTGGATCCAAATACTTCTTTGCTCTCGTTCATTTTCTGTCCAACACTAAAATATTATCTCATGACCATTGACTAACTTGAGCATTGGAGTCCCATGGTTGCATTTCCTATCGCAAGTGAAGGCCACATGCATCTAATGTTTGTGCATCCCCAAGTGTGTAGAAACTTGACACGTGGATAGAAGTGGAGTGGGGAACATTGGCCATGTGTTCCCACCAGTTTTTGAGGTCAACTAGCTGCAAAATTTTACATTTTGCTATAAATTGTGCTAAAAATATGAAGTTAGATATATTGTTTTTATGCCACCAGGGTACATCTTAATATCATACTTGAATCATCTACAATTGGTTGATAATAGTATTTAATCTCTCCACCTGTATTAATTCTTATTATTGCTTAATAATAGGGAAGTTTGAGATCATTCTCTACCAAGCTATGATGGATCCTCACGTTAAATTATTTGGAGTTCAATGTGCTACAGAATAATTTCAGAAAATTTAAGTTTTAATATAAATATTATAAATCAAGAATTGGAATGTTTTATTAATGAATTGTGTAATTTCTATTTCAGTAAATATGATAATGATGAATGTGTTCGTTCCTTTACGAGCTCTGTTGCAACTTCCAAAATTAAAGCTTCTTTTTATTTCGAGATGGCTAAGAAACGTAATGGTGCATATAATTTTAACATTGACATGGACACTAGACATGCTAAATTAGAAAGGTATTATTAATTTGATCTTTACAGTTTGTATCATGAGGATGAAGTATTAAATTTAGATATCTTAAGACATCGGAAAACAAATGAAAAATCGTATCCAATAATATAAGAAAATAGTATTTTGTGGGTGATTTTTTGATGAAACAAATGATGATATGATGTCTAAAAAATATATATGTATATTTTTTTATGTAAATGTATTCGTAGACGGGCTCAAGAGATTCACCAAGACATCCCAACTAAGTTGGCATTTCCACAACACCCTCACTATTTACCCTCCCCCTTATTAATATCAATGAGAAAAAACATATCAATACAATAGTTCAAGAGAAAAACATCTCAACATGCCAAGGAAACGAAGAAAAAAATCTATCTAAAACCAATAATTATAACAGCCCAGAGCATCCTCGGACACAAAAATAGCACAAAAATTAAGCGATAAACCACAGAAGTTGTCACTCTCTATCCATAACTGATGCCAATTCTTTTCTCATGCTATCTGAACTGCATGTATCACAGTTATGAGTTCAGCTTCAAAAGCCAACAAAATTCTGAAGGGGGTTGCAAGTTAACCCTTCACAAACCCCCAGCAGGAGAGAGACACGCCAGCACATCTAACTTGATTCGGGCTTCTGTGAGCTGCTCAATCAGTATTAGCCTTCGCCCGACCAGTTCTGAATCAGCTGAACGGGAATCCCACAATCTCCAGATGGCGAAGAATCAGCAATTCATCATGAGACTTATACATATTTACCCTTTTGGAGGAAAGATGGATTTACTAATTTGGATTGACTAAGGTTTTTAAGAGGACAACACTAATAGGAAGAAGGAAGTGAAAAAGGAAACTTGCATTTCTCAACTTCAAAACTTTACACACTTTTTGGCTTGTTACAAAATGGAGGACACTACCACTTTATATAGTGTTTACATGAAGATTCTAGTCCACACATTTTCTAGAGACACCTAGACCACACATCAAGATATTTTCTTAGAATTCTCTAGATATTCTTTATAAGACCACATATCTTACTTAGATATTTATATAGATTTTTCTAGATAATGTTTCTAGAAATGCTAGGCATGTTGGGCCTTTTAATTGATTTGGACCTATAAGCAAAATCCTTAAGCCCACATTATTTAGTCCAAAAATCAAGTTTACTACTCAACATCCCCCCTTAAACTTGATTTTGCTACTCCAAGTAGAGTTCTTAACTTGCGAAACACATCATGCTTGAGTGGCTTAGTGAGAATGTCGGCGATCTGCTCTTGGGAGGTTACATATTTCAGCTACACTTCTTTCTTTGCAATACTTTCTTTTATGAAATGATATTTTGTATCAATATGCTTGCTTCTATCATGGAATACTAGGTTCTTTACCAATGTCAATGCTATCAACATGGATTTCGGTTGGTTCTTCTTGTGAAACTCCAAGCGTCTTCAACAAGTTTCTAAGCCAAATTGCATGGCAGACACTTGATGTAGCTGCAACATATTCAGCTTCACAAGTAGATAGTGCTACGATCGATTGCTTCTTTGAGCTCCAAGTGAAAGCTGTGATGCCCAAGTAAAACACATATCCAGTCGTACTTTTTTTATCATCACTATCTCCACCCCAATTGCTGTCACTATATCCAACAAGTTTGAATTCATTAGATGATGAATAGACTAAGCCATAATCAAGTGTACCTTTGATGTAGCGAAGAATTTTCTTTGCAATTTTCATATGGGTCATGGTAGGTGTCTCCATATAGCAACTAATGAGCCCAACTCCAAAAAGGATATCTGGTCTTGTGCACATCAAGTATCTTAGACTTCCAACAAGACTCTTAAAAAGTGTTGGGTTTACTTTTTCACTTTCATCATTCTTCGACAACTTAGTTCCGTATTCGATGGGGGTGCATACAGGCTTGCAATCCTCCATATTGAATTTCTTTAGAATTTCTTTTGCATATCCTTCTTGTGAGATGAAGATACAATCCTCCATTGCTTTACCTCAATCCCAAGATAGTAGGCCATAAGGCCGATATCCGTCATCTCGAATTCTTGAGCCATGGCCTTCTTAAACTCAACGATCATAGTTTGATTATTTCCTGTGAATATAAGATCATCTACAAATAAACAAACAAGAAAAATATCTCCTTTCTCATTTACCTTTGTATAAAGGAAATACTCATGAGGGCATTTTGTGAAGTTATTTTCTAGAAAATACTTGTCAATTCTACTATTTCATGCCCTTGGAGCCTGTTTCAACCCATATAAAGTCTTTTTTAGTTTCAAGACTTTACCTTCATATCCTTTTACTTTATAGTCCATTGGTTTCTCCACATAGATTTCTTCTTCGAAATAACCATTTAGAAAAGCTGATTTCATGTCCATTTGAAATATCTTCCACTTATTTTGCGCTGCAAGAGAGAAAATTAATCTTATGGTTTCTAAACGAGCAACAGGAGCAAATACCTATTCATAATCGATTCCCGACCGTTGGTTGTAGTCTTTGGCAACTAATCTTGCTTTGTATCTTTCTACTTCTCCTTTAGCGTTCTTCTTTGCCTTATACACCCACTTAACTCCGATTGCTCTCTTTCCTTTAGGAAGAGTTGTCAACTTCCACGTGCCATTTTTCTCAATAGTCTTAATCTCTTCATTTATGGCATCTCTCCATCTTTTATTTTGCGCTGCTTCTTCATACTCTATTGGCTCACAATCGGCAAAAAGACAAAAGAGTGTGAGATCATTTTGATTTTCTGTTGCCTCATATAGCTCTTGTAGGTCCCTCATCCGTGGCGTCCTTTCACTTGAGCTTTCTCCTTGTGAAGATGATGGGGAAGCATCTCCATGAGTAGGTGATAGAGGTGGACTGGTAAACTCTTGCTGCTCTTCATTCTCTTGTTCTTCTTCCTCAAAGAATGGTAAAAAGTCATAGTCTTCTTCTTGGACACCCCAATTCCAAGTTCCTTCTTCATCAAACTCGACATCTCTACTTATGATGATCTTCTCCTTATTTAGATTATACAACTTGTAGCCTTTAGAGTGAGAGTCATAACCGATAAAGACATACCTTTCACTTTTGTCATCTAACTTGGACCGCTTTTGATCTGGTATATGAGCATATGCAATGCTCCTAAATACTCATAAGTGAGAGTTGTTGGGCTTTCTTCCACTCCGTGCTTCTTGTGGTGTCTTATTCCACACACTTCTAGAAGGCGATCGATTAGACAGATACACGGTGTAATTAACAGCTTCAGCCCAAACTTCCTTGGGCAATCTCTTACTTTTGAGCATGCAGCGGGCCATATTAAGAATGGATCTATTCTTTCTTTTGGCTACTCCATTTTGTTGTGGAGAGTATGGAATCGTCAATGGGCGACGAATTCCATTCTCCTCACAATATTTCTCAAACTTTTTGGAGGTGAACTCTCCTCCTCGATCCGATCTTAACACTTTTATACTAGATCCGCTTTCTTTTTCAACAAGAACTTTAAACTTCTTAAAAGTTTCAACAACTTCCAATTTTTGTTTGATAAAATAGACCCAAGTCTTTCTACTAAAATCATCAATAAAAAAAACAAAGTAATTGCTCTTACCAAGAGAGCTTGGATTAATTGGCCCACAAACATCGGAGTGTACAAGTTCTAATGGCTTCTTAGCTCTTGGAGAAGCTTCTTTTGAAAAACTTTTCATCGAATGCTTTCCAAGTAATCATCCTTCACATAATTGATCCGCATGATTTATTGGAGGCAACCCTTTCACCATCTTCTTCTTACTTAACAACTTTAAGCCTCCAAAATTAAGATGCCAAATCTCTAGTGTCAAAGCCAAGATAAATCTTTAAAACAAGCTTTTAAGCAGTTAGCAACGTCATTTTGAATGCTTAACGCAAACATTCTATTTCTTGTCATTGGGACTTTGGCAATCAAATTTTCCCTTTGATATTTTATTGAAAGACTATGATCTTTCAAATGAATATCATAGCCCTTCTCTAAGAGTTGTCCCAAACTTAAAATGTTATTTTTCACATTGGGCACATAATAGACATTTGAGATAAATTGATGCGTACCATTTTTCAAGCTGATCAAGATTTTACCTTTTCCTTTCACTGGGATCTTGGATTCATCTCCAAATTTAATGTTTCCGCTTACTGATTCATCAAGCTCCACAAACATATTTTTTCATCCACACATATGGTTGCTTACTCCTGTACCCAAATACCAAGTATTCTTTTCTCTGCTCTCTTTACCTTTGTAAGCCAACAGTAGTACAGGATCTACTTCACTTTCCCAACAAGCGTAGTTGGCTTTCTCCTCAACTTGCTTAGTAATATTTATACATTCTGAAGCATAATGACCAAGTTTTTGACAATTGTAATATTTAATTTGAGATTTGTCATACCTTGGTCCTTCATTGTGCCTCATACCTTTTCTTCTTCCACGACCTCTGGTAGAAAATGAACTTTGTCTTCTTTCCTCCTTGTAGGATGCAATTCTTCCTCGATCTTGGCCTCGTCATCTTCCTCTTTGGCTTCTTCTACTGTTGAACCTTCCTTCACCCTCATTCAAAGTGAGCTTTGTTTGAAGAGCTTGCTCTAATGGCTCTTCTTTCACCTTCTTCCTTAGTCTTTCCTCATGGGCTTGTAAAGATTTCATGAGTTGATCGACACTCATAATATCTAGATCTTTAGATTCCTTAATGGATACAACTATGTAGTTAAATTTAGAATCTAAAGACCTAAGTATCTTCTCAATTACTCTAGTGTCATTCAACTTTTCTCCATTCCTCTTTAATTGATTCACAATAGCCAATACTCTAGAGAAGTAATCAGAAATTGATTCCGATTCTTTTATATGTAAAGCTTCAAACTCACCTCGAAGTGTTTGAAGTCGAACCTTTTTCACCTTCTCAACTCCTTTGTGGGAGTTTTGCAAGATCTCCCATGCTTTCTTACTTGTAGTAGCACGAGCTACTTTCTCGAACATGCCTTCTTCTAAGGCTTGATAGATGAGGGTGAATGCCTTCTTATCCTTCTTCCTTGCATCCTTCAAACTATCCATTTGTGCTTGGGATAGAGCAACCTTGTCTTGTGGCTCTATGTAGCCTTTCTCTACGATCTCCCATGCATCTTGCGACCCGAGCAATGCTTTCATCCTTATGCTCCAATTGTCGTAGTTATCCTTGTTAAGTTGGGGGACTTGAAAAGGAATCATCCCACTTGCCATTTTTCACAAAAACCTTAGGGCTCTGATACGAGTTTGTTGGAGGAAAGATGGGTTTACTAACTTGGATTGACTAAAGTTTTTAAGAAAACAACACTAATAGGAAAAAAGAAGTGAAAAAGGAAACTTGTATTTCTCAACTTCAAAACTTTACACACTTTTTGGCTTATTACAAAATGAAGGACACTACCCCTTTATATAGTGTTTACATGAAGATTCCAGTCCACACATTTTCTAGAGACACCTAGACCACACAAAGATATTTTTCTAGAATTCTCTAGATGTTCTTTATAAGACCACATACCTTACTTAGATATTTATATAGATTTTTCTAGATAATGTTTCTAAAAATGATAGGCATGTTGGGCCTTTTAATTGATTTGAGCCTATAAGCAAAATCCTTACATCCATATTATTTAGTCCAAAAATCAAGTTTATTACTCAACATACCCTAGCCAGTTCATCGGCTTCCTTCCCTGCTATCTTAAAGAAATGCAAGTAACGCCCCACAGGTATTAAGTTCTACTAAGAATGGACTGATTGTTGGCTGTCCGAAGGATCATGAAAGTGTTTCTACCATAGCCCGCGAAATACCAAGTAATTGAGTGCTACAAGCACGATTTCAAGCTTACTTATCAAACACTCTACCGACTGTGATGTATCAACTGGGCTTCCGAAGATGTCTGCCAAAAATTACCACACTCCTTGCGCAAAATTCACAATGAAGAAATAAATGCTTAGAATTTTCTATAGTTTTCTGACAAAGCTACCATCAAGAGACTAAATACACTCCAGTAAGGACAACCTATCTTTTGTTCCAACTCGTAGTGTGAGACTCGAATTGTGGTTATATGCTTCCAGAACTTTTTGATACTGAAAAGTCGTGTTTTATGAAACTGCAACTTTATTAAATTGACACTTTCAACTGAATGGAGACACATGGCTTGACCTGGATTGTTTGATTGGATTTGGAACCTTCTATTATTGGTGTCGTTTTACTTGGCATGCCTTTCTCTCAATTAACGCGTCTGACTCTTGATTCTTGTGAGAGAAAAACCTCTCTTCTAGTTAGGGTTTCATCAGTTTTGATTCTTTAGCTCAAATCTCTGATTTGAGGCCTTAGACGTGTAAATCTTAGTGATCTGGTTAGATATTCTGAGTGATTATCTGTAAAATCCTATGTTCTCTTGAGTTCTGATGTTCTAAGAGAGATGCAGTGAAGATTCTTTGTGATTCTTTGAAGGTGTTGGGTCGATCTTGAGAGATAAGTGTCTTTGATTTATCTCCCTGTATTTGTTGAATATTTGTGACCCTTTGTTGCCAATTTTTGGCTATTTTAGTACAATCGAGCATAATTCAACTTGTTGGATGCTCAACGGGAGATGTAAGCATTTGAAGCGGTCGTCGAACCTCCGGGGCTTAGGCCGAAAGAAATCTTGTCGTGAATCTTTAAGTTTCTGCACTGTTTTACTTTAGGCCGTTTTGATTATCTTGCTTCTCAGTTTAATATTGTGTGACCTTTGCCTTTTAGACGAGTATTCTCCACAACAGGATTGGGTGAGAAGGTGGAATGAACTTTGTCCAGATCCACTTACCCCCTCAAATTGGGTGGCCCTGAGGGTCGAAGTGCTTATACGCCTATTTGAATGAAACCCATCCAAATGGGGACCCAGTCCCAATTAATTAATCCGGCAACCCAAGAAATCAGATAATGCTATCAATTAAGCTTCAAAAATCCATAAATTTCTTCAAATAATGCTACATCTTAATCTCTAGCTATACATTCTTAGAGGCAAGGTGAAGTCCCACTCTTTACTAAGGTGAAATCCCCTAAAAACTATTGTCCAGGCTGAAGGGACTTTAAAAGAGTTGATGATAACAATAAAAGGGATATTGTGATAATCGAATAGAATGTTATTTGTTTGCTCCTATGCATCATAATGTTTCCTTAATATGCTCATCAGCTTGCGCCATATGATAACAATGTGATCTTATTTTGATTTCTGATGATATGTATAGCACTACGGGTCCCTTCTGAAAAGAAGAAAAATATTTGGCTAAATTTTATGAAGATCTTTCAAGGACGTCTTTAAATAAATTTCTTCATTTATTGGTCAAAGTCTTGTCAAATTCAATGTCACATACATGCATTGAATATCTTTCCCATAGTAATAGCATTTGTATTTCTTCAACACTAAGTAATTCATCAATGCATTAACAGCTTTTTTTTGGGGTAGAATTCCTCTCTTATTTATGTTTAACTCTATTTGTCCACTAGAATTTCCTAAGCTCACTACAAAGGGCACACTTAATGGGTTCCAGCTTCACGTGGTACTAACAGGGATTATTGAACATCTCTAGCAGATTCAGCCACATATTTCACAACTCATGTGCTTTTCAACATGTTATCAACCTATTTTCAGGTAGGCTCTCATAAATTGCATATAGAATGCCATGTTAGATGGCCCGAGGATTCTTTCAAACTGATAAAATTGTGCACTCCTTGTTTTTCTTTTTTGGGGGAGAGGGGGACGCACGAGGATGTGGTACTATCTTGAATTGGCATATTCACAAGACGTAACAGCTCATGCAGCGACGTTGCATCCTTAATGAAGTTGGTTATTCTTTGGAAATTTAAAGTTACCTTTGTTCATGCATGTGGAATGCGCACGAAATTTGAATAATGCTATGTTGCATTGTTGGTTTTTAATACTGGTCATTCGCAACATGTGGATCAATTTTTTCCTACTTTTAATCACATTTCTTAAAAAAATCAAAATTAAACAAACACTAAATAATAGGATCAATTAAAGGAAAGTGGTCCAAGAACTGGACATATCATTTAAAGAAACATGGACCCGCAAAAGTGGTGTGGCGAAGAATTCCTTTAAATTCTTTTAACCACCTTACCTCGTCTGGGGTTTTCTTGACATCAAGTCTTCTCCCATCATATACGAACCTCATAACTTCGTACTCAAAATTCTTTTCTTTGCAATATGCCATCAATAAACTATGTATTTTACGGTCACGTCTAACTCTATAGTAGACCTCATCTCCATCCTACCATACCAAAAGCAAAACGATGCAAAGAGAAATTTGCTAGGTTCCAGTGACCATGTACACAAACATATTGAGCATACATACTTTTTGGTGTATATTGACAATTAATGTAAACAAGATACAAGAAAGTGTTCTGCACAAAACGTCGTACTTTATAAAGGAGATAGTAAAAGTAATTGATATAAGCTACATATTTATCAATATTTTATTAAAAGTTAATCTATTAGAATAATATTTAAATACGTTTCTTTTAAAGCAAGGTAATATAAATGCTAATATCATCTTTAAATAAAGTTTCAAGGATATCCCAGATTTTCTGCTATGAACTTTTTACAAGACCTCTCAGGCAAACTCTAGAAATTACTTCCATTAAGCAAATCTTTTAACAACTTTCAGTTGAGAAAGCACTTCAACTCTGCTTTTCAGTAGTTCAAAATTTTAGCCTAAAACTCTAAAACTTGAAGAAAGTTATCCGTTGAAACATATATATCTACATGTTCATGAGCCATTAGACTCTCAAATTACATGCATATAACAATATGAAAATATAATTTGTCACAGTAAGGCCCCATCAGAAAAGCTGATGAATTTATTCTGAAATCAACCATTGGACTATTCTAATACTCATTCAGTCAGGTGACTCAATACTACCTCCTCGCACAACAACTGCAAGCTACTTATGCAGCACCAAGATGGAAATATTCAAGAATGCAGAATGAATCTACAAATGCTCTGATTTTAAAAAATACTCACGAATTTAGGAAATCGAAACTGGAAGATTCACAAAGAATGCCTAGAATTGATTCTTGATCAACAAAATCATCCATTCTAACAAAGAAAAATTTGGATTAAAAATTGGGGGAAAAAAATCTCTCACGGCTATTATATTATTTTTATCAACAAATGGAACAGACAAGATACTATTTGCGGCAGGGGCGATTCCAAAATTATTCTTTAGTGGGGGCAGGGCCGAATTTAGGAGCTCGAATGAGCATGGGTGGTCGTTAATTGTCCACAACAATGGTGGAAATAAAAATCAACTATATCTATTATTATATTACCATTATATATGATTATGTTATTCATCAAATGCCAAAGTGGTAAGGCATTTTTAAAATTCTATGGAAGAGAGCGGTTCGAATCTTTCCCACTGCATAAATCTCACTACCTATTCGAATCTTTCCAAATTTATGTTACACATATCAATAGCTCACACAAATTGCCATAGTGGTCAAACTTTTGTTATTTCCAATGGAGATCACAGTTTGAATTTTTTTTCCCATTGCAATTGGTTTTAATCAAAATGACAAAAAATATTAAACTAAAATAATTAAAATAAAGATTGTTCTTGTAAAGAGTCGAACACTTGACCTCCTGCTTACAAAACATAACACTTACGTCTGAGCTACAGGAGTTAACTTAAAATAAATGGGATTACCAGATATATATCCAAAAAAAAAAAATTAATATTGGCAGATCCAGCACGGGCGGTTGCGGGTGCTCACCGGGTGCTGGATCCGCCGCTAAGTGGGGGTTTGACCGAAAATTGGCTAAAATAAATTTTGAAAAAAACCAAAAAATTCTGAAATTTTAAATTTAACAAGGTCGAATTGAAGATTTTCGAAAATTCAGTGGGGCGGCCAACCCCACTAGTCCCCTAGTGGGTCCGTCCCTGGTTTGCAGCTATTCAATAGGAAAGTTTGAAGCACCGACATGGAAATGCATGTCATATCCCAAATGACATGTACATATTCAAAAAATCTGGGCCGCGGCAAGCAAAGGACACATTAAATAACATCATATTAAATCTTTTTGTTGTGAGTTTTATTTTATTTTTATAGTAAAAAGATAATTTTAGGAGGAAGAACAATGAAATGTCAGCCTTCATTGTAATAAAGAAATTATGGCAACTTGGTCAGTTTATTTAGTAAAAAATGTGGGCA